TACAGAGATTGGGGTGAATAGAAGAGAACAGCTGCCTCGTTCCTTGATTGCCATAGGGGTAATGGAATCTAGTTGCAGCCCATTGGAAAACCTGGTGCTATTGTTTGTGAAGGTCAAGTCCATCATCATTAGCCCAATACTCCATATCAAACTTCCAACCCTTCGAGTATTCCATTCTAGTGAAGCATCATCAGCCGGCCAGGTTCCAGCGCCATCATGGACTTGTGGGGTTCTATGCACAACTTCCTCTACTGCACTCTATTCGCCTAGTGCCCATCAAGCAATCTCAATATCACTGTCCGCAGCTTCTTCCTCTGCAGCCTTTCGTCGTTCTTGCTCCTTTCTCCCCTGCTCCAATACCTTTCTTCTCTCTTCCCGCAACTTTCTCTGCGAGACAACGAATGCCCCTAGAGGAGTGTCCTGCCATTGCACGTCTTTCAAAAACGCTTCCACCTCCGTCCGATCCTTGGGCGAGAAGTTGACGTCGATCCTCCTTTCCTCGATCCATTTAGCATTGGCCTCCGACTTTTGGACCAGCACAAGAAGTGCCTGATTGAGCTTGCCATTCTTGTTTCCGGTGGGCTTTGAAGCTGTTTTGAGCCACCGCTTCAACATAATGACGACTGGCAACTGAAGCTCGGGATATGCAATGCTCTTCGTCCACAGCACAAGGAATTCGGACAGTAACTCTACAACCTGTTCGCCGACACCATCTTGGTACACTTTCGTTTTCAGAAGGGATGATGGGGCCCTGATGTTCGATGCAAAATCCAAAGGACGCAGTGTGGAAGCTTTTGCAGGTTTCTTCATCTCTGCCGAATTTAAGACCTCTAAAAGAGCCGCCGACAAGGGTATGTATGTTTCGGTAGCCTGTGAGATACGAAGCAATGACCGCATCAGTTGGAACCGAAGAGGAAAGTATGTGGAGGTCGGTATCAACCTCAAAGCGCCAAGAGTGACCTGCACCACGGGGTAGATGAGAGGACGTAGCTGGGAGGGTTTGCCATTCTGTGCTTCCAAAAGCGAGTTGCAGTGACTGGACAGTACCCGAGACCAGAAGTCAAGAGAGTGAACAAATTGCCAGTTGTATATTGTCTTGTATGAATCCTTGGTCGGTTTGGTGATATTGCCCCGAAGGTGAATGGCAAGTTGGCGGATGAACGTGAAGCCTGTAGTGTAGCTGACCTTTTGGTCGATACCCCAAATTTCTGCTGCCGAGTTTTTCATCAAGTTGATTCCTGCAAGGGTGTGAACTGTTGTGTTTCGGCTGCCCTTAACAACGCCCTCATACGTCGCCTTCAAGACAGCCTCGCGTATCCCAGCGTCACCTATGACCATTAATCGGCGAATAACAAGGAAAGCGGTGATTCTTGTTGCTTCATCAGAGGAATTATCGGACCAAACAGATGCGACAGCTTTCGTAAGAACCTTCAAAAATTTGCGAAACTGGAGGAGGTACGGGAGGAGTGGCTCGAAGGACTCGAGCGTCAACCTCAATGTCTTCGTATCGGATAAATTCTTGAGCAAGTAATGTAGAGAGGAGGCGTGTGATTTGATCAATGGTGCAAGAGTCTTGAACTTGGGCGAATCTGTCGGTATGCGCAACTTGCCGCCAGCGGACTCCTTGACTGGAAGATGGTGTGACAACACTTGGGGGACCTGCTTGAGTGCCGTTATGAGAACCTCGTGGTACACCTCTGGACTCGAAATATTGTATCTGAAGACTTTGTCGTCTTCGTCGTCCGCATGCGCCGCAGCGCGGCAAGCCAGCACCACTTGTCTGAGAGCTCTTATGGAGAATTGTTCGGCCAAGGAGGTTTTCCACTTCTTTACCATTGCGAGAGTAACATCACCCGCTGTCTCGGGGTCGTCTTTCTGGGACCCTTTTGTCTTTTGCTTTTTTGTTGGGGGCTCCTCTTCACTCAGGTCATCAACTGCTGCAAGATCATCGTCTGCGTCGAATTCTAGCAACTCTGCATCATTTTCCTGCAGGTATTTATAGAACTCAGGGTCTTTCTCGGCCAATGCAGCTAATTGAGTTTTGTGGTCCCCAGACTCATCTTCCGAGCCATCGTCGTCAAGATCCGAGGGCTCGTCAGTGGTCTTTTCTCTTTTCCGTTTTCCGCCCTTGTTCTTCAGAGACTGAGTCTCGTGCTCTGGTATATCAACGGCGTCCTGGAAGAAGTCGTCCTCGTTCATAGCCTCGGCTCCATTGTCTCCGACCTCAAGATCCGACTCCGCTTTCTCATCCTCGTCTTTTGACCTCAGCGCAGCTTTTTGTTTCTTTTTCTCTTTTTGCTGGTGCCGCTGTTTGACTTTGGCAAATTCTTTCCGTCGTTCGATCGTGTCTTTGAGGCGGTTCTTCTCGAACTTTTTCGTAGCCTTTGTCTGCTTGCCCATGATGAAGGCTACGAGTGTTAGGTATTCCTTGCAACACCAGATCTTGTGTCGTCTAACGAGAGAGTCAATTTGGCGAAATCAATTGCAGGTTAAGGAAAAATTATGCCAAGCCGAGGTTTTGCCGGTGTTTCCCCGCATGCGCCCAATCCTCCCCCTCACAGCCTCTTAGTTGTTCAGGCGCATCTCGAGGTCAGCCTCGTGGTCTTCGTCTTCGTCCGTTTCTACCATACCTGCTTCCTGCACAACTACTTTGTCGCTGGTGCGACATAAGATAATGTACAGCAACCCTCCAGGCCGCAGTCTAGCCTACGCTCCCACTCCCTATGCTTATCCAGCAAACACTCTGTCCGCGCGGATCAACCTCGACGAAGAAGTCAAACTCGCCGACTCGTCTGCCGAACGTGATCTGATCGACTCCCTAGCCGAGATCTACAGCATCATCCGCACTATCGACGGACTGGAAAAAGCATATATAAAAGATGCGCTACCAGAGACGGAATACTCGGACATGTGTTCGAAACTGCTCAAGCAGTATCGATCAATATTGAGCGACGAAAGTGTCGCACGAGAGTTTGGAGACCTGGATACATTCACACAGAAGTGGGACATCGAGTGTCCCCGCGCCAAAGAACGTTTAAAAATCGGTCTGTCCAGTGTGGAAACGATAACTGTGGCCAAGGCTGCTCCTGGATCTACAGCACCGCAAGGCAATCTTTCGGGCAGCTTGATCTTGGTCGCGACCGAGAATTTCATCACGTTCCTTGACGCGCTACGGTTGAACATGGTCTCGAAGACTGCCTTGCACCCGCTTCTATCAGACGTTATCCAGTCGGTGAACAAAGTCACAGAGCAAGACTTTGACCATCGTGGCAAGATCATCCAGTGGCTGATCACTCTCAACCAGATGAAGACCTCAGAGGAGCTTAGCGAGGAGCAGGCGCGGGATTTGGCATTCGACATGGAGCAAGCATACAATGGATTCAAGTCGATCATTCAGTGAACGTGTCGCCTTCAAACGCCCAGAACGTCTCTCTCTTTCGGCTTCTTGGGAACAAGCGAATGTAACGGAGGCGCAGTCACACTACGATCTACCGCCATGGAGTTGCTTTATCCACAACCATGAGCATGTCCAGATAACGTTGTTGGCGTTCAATGCACTAGGTCTTCACCGAATGCCTCCATCCAATGCTACAGCCTTGGTAGAGGCCCCCACCAGTGGTGACCGGCGGAGTACCTCAACCAGCAGAGACAGTACTTGGATTTGTAAGAAATACTTGAACTGTTGTCCACATATCTCGCCACGTTCCATGGTGGCTTGAACTGCCTGAAGTGCCAGCTTCAAGGTCTTTTCTGGTACACAGATCTCGCCCAGCTTCACAACTGGGCCAGATCACGCCACACTGAGCTATTTTGTGGTAGAACCAGCCACGTGCGCCAGAGAAGCCAAAACAAGCGGTCAAGCAAGCATGCGGCGGCTCCCGAGAGTGGATGAGTTGGTGGACAACATCAGACGGACGGATGGACAGGTGGGAAAGCCACTAGTTCAGGAGATTGTTCTGTTTGATAGCAGCGTTGCGCTCACCTTGCGCTCTGTCTGAGTGAGGCAGGGCAGCCTTGCTGAGCCTTGTCCGGGCTATACACGGGGTACGGAGGTGGCCGTCGAGGACTGAGACGGATCCAAGACTCGTTCACGGCACCAGCGCGATTTTCGCGAATCCTATTCAGGCTCTTCTTAGCGAGCATGCCATGTGGGCTTCTATCAGTTTCCCTTCATTGACGCACGTGGAATGCAGATGCCAATTATCTGCGCCTAGCATGTCCTATTGGCGACGAATAAGAACGGGCGAAGGAACGAAGAGGGCTGGGGAGAAAGGAGAGCTTTAGAAATAAGGGCCCGCCCCGGAACGCTCCGCCCTGGTAGACAAGGCTAAGCAGATGTATACGAGTACGAGGCAGCAGTATACGAGCTGTACAAGTACTGTGCACAGCCATATCTACTTGTAGCCCGGTGACTGTCACTGGCATTGGCGTTATCACCTTTCGTCTGTTTCCTGCCAATACCCTGTGGCTGTGGCTAACCTCTTCTTCTCGTTTGTCAATGATCGTGACTGATAGGGTGACGAACCCAGCCGGACACCGAAAACCCGCTGCGGTCTCACCGTCTCCTACTTGCACCAGGTCCTCGGTACTTGTAACTTGTAGGGCTAATTTGCTGTGCCCTCGCTTGTGTGAGACACTGCAACGGTATTTCTTGTCTTTGCAGGGAGGTTCTTCTGGCGCTGTTCCCTCACCTGACAGATGCATCTCGTTGAGGGTTCGGTGATTCGCTCGACTGGCAGCAGCATATGGGGAAGCGGTTATGCAACCGATTGAAGCTGTCTTCGGAATGAAATCTGCAGTTAGTCTCCCTGGTCCTTGTGTAAGCTGCCACTGAAGAGCCGCAGGTTCACCAGATGCGCGGTCACGTGACTGGATAGATGTTACGGTGAAGTACCCCGTATGTATCCCTTCGCTCTGTAGTCGCTGCAACACGCCAATGCCCCTTTCCGCGTTCCTCGCACCTCCAAACTTGGTTACCCTCCGACTAAAAACTACTACCAATGCAGGAAGCGGTCTACAAACGAAAACTTCCTCTAATCCCTCCTTCACCTCAGGAACACCCTCGAAAAAGGGTTGTGCTCGATGGCTCTCTCCCGTGGGAAGAGGAATTCCTCGCCGATTTCCAGGGCATCTCCGACAGAACTTGGACGATCGATGTTGACACAGAGCCTCTGCAGTTCGATGATGGCTCGTTGGAAATGGTTCGCCCTTTGAATTATCCCGCGCCAGGAGCGCCCGCGCAAGTATGACTTGCAAGAAGAGAAAACAGGCTCTATGCTATAAAACTAGTTAGTACTATTCTCGTCGACTTTGAGTAGCACCATTGGCTAAACATGCGAAAGTTTAGGCCATACTCAGATCAGGAGGCAAGAGCACAAGCATTACGCCTCTGGAGACGAAAGCCGAGCCTGCAGAAAGTACGACACGATGTCAGCCCCTTTGCCCTAGAAACAAGGGCATATGAAAGGATGCGAAAATTCCTCCCTGCACATCAACAATTTTTCTTCCGGCGATATCATGGAACCTTCGAAGTCTCTCCCTCCCGTCTCGATCGGAGGTTTTGCGGGACGTCCTTTCGCCACGGCATTGTGTTTGACGTTCTAACGACCGAACTTAGAGGTCGGCATCTGTATTCAGGACGTGACGTCGGTGACTTTGCACCGTATGTTGAAATATTACAGGCTGAGCTTGCGAAACTGGACTTATCTCCGCTTGAGGAGAGGTGGTATGTGAGTGTACTGGAAGAGCGCCTGACAAAGGTAACGGCTGCTCATGCACTTGGGATCCTTCATGGCGACATCAAATTTGATTGTTTTAGCCTGCCAAAATCACCACATGACATCGTCCTACACGACTTTAGTCGAGCGTATACCTTCACGCGGGAGCGACCCTGCGCGATGATCGGTATGGTCCGGTTGCGATCGCTCAAACATGCAGCAGACGTCGAATGTGACATCATTCGAATCTGTGTTCTTGACATGTGAGGAGGCATCCAGTGCGATATTTCAATTTGATGCTGATACCCTCTCAGGGCAAAGTCTGCTCACTTATTCGATCATTTCAAACAACTGCTAGGGATGACGGAGGAGGACACCCGCAAAGTACTATCTTCTAGTATTCCTCGCAGTCTATTAGCGACCGAGCTTGCACTGATCATTCTGTCTGCGAGGATGATGGACGATGGTTTGTTCTCTCTCAAAGTCGTTCTTTAGGTGTATGGCTAACGCGCTACAGGACCATTCTTCCCCTCACTTTCTTCAATACTCCCATTCTTGGAACCAGCATCAACTGAACGGCCAGCCGCATGGACAATAACCATGGCGAATCATCTTGACCAGTTTGTCTCAGCATCTTGTTCCGAAGTGAAAGGCAACAGTATTACATCAATGGGCTGCAAGATCGCGTCGCTTGTCGACTCCACGGGTGTTGTCATCGAACAACTTAGCCTTGTTTGCCCTCAGCAGCCAACAACACACTCTACCAAGAGGTCTACCCTCGCACTTTTACCCAGTGCCTGGCTTGAAAATTTAGACACGCGACAATTTTTCTGGACCCTTTTCTGCTCGCCTTCGCTCTCAGGGGATGCGAGGCAGGTGAGAGTAATGGACCGGGAACAACTCTATGCTGAGATGAAACGATGTCATTGATCGATGATATTGTCAACGCCGACTTCTCCTCGCCGGGTGCTTCTGCCCTTGCTGCTTCGAACAGCAGGCTGCATTGTATCTTGACAGTTTACAACGCTCACGGCTTCCTCGAACCCCGCCCAGACGATTGCTCAGTGCTGTCGTCTAGCCTCTTGCGTTTCTCTTTTCCCGGAACTTCGACGTCGATATTGAGCGGCTCATAGTGGTGGGATAGCTCTCGGCTTTCACTTGCCATGCGAGCCAAGAAGTAAAGATTGATGTTAATCGTCTCCCGCGAGCTACCATGATCCCACGGGACTATCTTCACCTCTAATGCACCCACGTCCTCATCTTGTGGCTTTGGTTGGAAAGATATTGTACTAAACGTTTCCGAAACTTCCGATACATTGGTACCAGTGGATGTGTCCGACAGTACTCGTCGATGGTTTTCTGCCACGGTCTGCCTCCGTGGCCGAAAACGCCTCTGCTTGGATGCTGGTGGTGAGAGTTTCAGCCGAATAAGGACCAGAAATTCGTTGGTCAGGATAAACCCATATCGCGTACGGTATACAGTACAATAGTGCTGCAATTGTTCAAAAGGTCGGACCAAGTGAGTGTCGGGGCGATCTTCATAGCCACCATTACCTACTACGCGTATCGCACGCTCAACGTCCCAGCCCACCTTGGTGTCTGCGCAGACGAGCGCTGGACAAATACCCCTTGGATGTGGACAATGGATGCTGGCATCCCCAACCCCCCAATCAGGCCGTACAGTAGGGTCTCCCATGATTCGGGATCCGGTAGAGAGGAACAATGACCCAGGGAGAGCGCGAGATACCATGCTGATATTTGTGCTCCCAAGGACTATGTTGAGTGCTGTTTCGTCGCAAATCACCGTGTGGCCAGCTTCTTCGGTGGCTTCCACAGTACTGGTTAGACTTGTGTCCGCATCTAGAGACTGACGATATCGCCGGGTGAGGCTTGCGAGGTCGAAGTCCTCCCACGGTTCGATTGCCTCGACGGGATTCCACATATCACTGTCGGTATATGTAACACCGTGGGAATGAGAGCGGTGAGAGCTCAGTCCAACGTCGTCGTCGTCGTCGATTTACCACCTACGTATGTATGTATGTGTTCAGCCTTGCCTCCGTGCCTCCAACTTACATACAAATATACATCCATGTAAAGAAAGCAATGTACTTGTAAGTTGTTTGGAAGCCTCGAGTTGGAGGTGCGAAGTATTCCCCAGAGGTCCAAGAAGTCAGATGTCAGAACTCAGAACTCAGGATCCGGCTTCCATACATATGTACCTATGTAGGTACGTGTGGGTCTCCGGGTTCACTCGTCCGAGGAGAGCCTGGCGAGGAGATTACAAGGAGATCCAACCACGGGTCATGAACCATAAACCATAAACCATGAGCCATGGGATTCGATCGCCCGAGTCAACCGTCGGTGGTGGCATATCGTCTGGCGTCATGTCTCATCGGTGAGCATCAGTGAGCCTCGCGGACAAAAGGCATGTACTTGTATGTCCTTACTCGTATGTGTTGAGGTTTGAATCATAGACTTGTAAGATTTAGATCCAATTTTGATTTCTCAAGTCTAAAGTAGTCTATGTCTAGCGTTGACGTTGTATGAATAATGGAGATATATATCTATATCAATGCCATCTGTCGATCCATACACACCTCGACTACGGTTTTAAAACACGGTCGAGTCGAGTCAGTGAAGCAGTGAGACCACTTCACCGTCACCATGATCTTAACCGCTATGCTCGGCTAGGAAACGAACGTTATAGACGCCTTACAACAAGAAGCGGAACCCTCTTGCAGCAGCCTCGGCGGGCACCGCGCCTTCTTGAACAAGGACTGAACCGCCCACGACGTCTTTGCCATCTCTGGCGGCGGCAGTGGCAGCGGGAGAATTGACAGCTCCTTCGACCCACTCGCCGCGGTCCAGCTTGCGGTTCAGCCTTGCCAAGATGATCCGGAGCACGGTGGCGGCACAGATGGCGATAAAGGCCGTGGCGGAGCAGACGCTCATGGCCAGGACGTAACGCGGCCCGTCGCTCTTGGGGAACATGTAGCTCGCGTAGATGGACGAGGTGTTGCTGACGGCGTTGATGGCAGCGAGGGCGGCGGCGCGCTTGGCTGGTGGCCGTGGCATCGTGTTGCTGATCCAGCCGAGCGCCACGACGTAGCCCGTGTACACGCCGGGCACCATGAGCATCATTGCGAGATAGCGCGGAGCGGTTGCCGTGGTCGCGGCGGCGAGGATGAACGATGCCACGGCCACGTAGAGCGGCAAGGTGACGTGGAAGAAGCGTTCGCCGGTGCGGTCGGCGTGCCAGGCGTTGAAGAAGGCCGTGATGACGCAGAGCACGTAGGGTGGTGCGGTGAGCAGTAGCGAGGCAATGTCGCCATATCCAAGCGTCTGGACGACAGTCGGGAAGAAGTTGGTCACCGAGCCGGACGCGACGATACAGAACAGCATGAGCATCTAGACCAGTCGGGTTAGAAACCAAGAGGCAAGACAAACAGACCGCTTTTGGACAAAAGACTCACCATAATCCACATCTTGATATCCTTGACGGCGAGCTTGAAACCGTGCCAAAAAGTCTGTTGCTCCGCACCCACCCAATCGTCCTCCCCGATATCCTCCTCGAGACGCCATACGGCCAGCTCCTTCTCTTGTGCGCTCAGCCAGGGCGTCGTTCGTGGGAAGTTGGGCAGGATGAAGATGGCCAGTAACGCGACCAGAATGGTGACGCAGCCTTCAATGATGAATAACCATCTCCATGCTCGCAAGCCCGCGGTTCCATCCATATTCTTGGTGATGCCTGCGGCAATCAGGCCCGAAAAGGCACCCGAGATAAGAGACCCCGAGTACAACAGCGCTGTCCTGAAACCCAACTCCTTCCTAGTAAACCAGGAACTGAGATAGTACAGGCAGCCTGGGAAGTAACAGGCCTCTACGAAACCAAGAAAGAATCGAACGGCGATGAGACCTCCAAAGGAGTTGACAGCAGCAGTTGCGGCGGAGATAGTCCCCCAAATAACCATAGCCGTGGGTAGGTATATACGGGGCTTGCCGATCTTATTGAGAAACAGGTTGGATGGAATCTGCATCAGGAGGTAACCGACGAACAGGATACTGACTAGAAGCATAAAATCCGTCAGAACCGAGGTGACATTGCCTCGAGAAGTCACCGAGCAGAATACATACCAGCTGTCTGGTACTGCGTGCCATGAAGTTTTAGCTCGTCCTCGAGACCAGCAAGCCTGGCTGCAGCAATATTGTTGCGGTCGAGGTAGTTGAGAATATACCTGAGTGCGTGTCAGCCTCGCACATACTTGTCCCTTGGGGATAGGTCTCATCAACGAACATGATGACAATCATAGGGATCAGTCGAAAGTCGATTTTTCGAACAAGCGCCCGCTCTGCAGCCTTTCGTTCCTCTGGACTGAGTGACTTCACATATGGAGGTGGCTCCCTTCTTGAGGTTATGACACTTCCAATGTCTTCTTGAAATTCTGTGGCGTTAACCTTGACTCCAACGGAAGAGCTCTGGTCAGAGTCATGGATGTAGTCCTGGGGGACCTCGTGGGAAGCCATTGTGGGAGCAGCCTGTCGACAAAAGCCAGGATTGACAGCGAGTTCTTGTCCCGTGCCTGGGTAACAGCTTGACCTGGACGAGAAGGGAAAGAGAATGGCCTACGAGTGCTGGAAAGAAGCACCCTTATACCTTCAGCCAGCCCTTCATGTGGGAGAAATCCACATGGCCACCCCCTTGAGATGACGTTGAGCAGCGACATGCTCATGTAACTCCAGGACCTCCACTCGCAATCGCCTCAAGAGGACATCAGAGTCGCCATCTTCTCCATATTTCCCACAGAGGGTTGAAATTCTCAAGTCATTCCAGAGTGTCCACCGAAGATCCATACGAAGCAAGTCACCAATGAGGATATGCCGGCTAAATGCGAGGCGGATAGATTGCCTGGAAATCATGTCGATCTGGGTGGGCTGTCTGCTGTCTCCGGATATTCCTCGCACATAGAGAAAAGCATTGGGGGTTGACCGGGACCCCACGCCTGGGGAGTTTGGTTTGGCCACAATTTGCGGCAGCTGGAGACCGAAGTGGCGGATGCGCAATGTGTGTGGAGAGGAAGAGGGCGAAAGTCGACCTTGCAGAATAGACGTAGTCAGTGAGACGGTGTATGCACCTCAACGTTGCATCCATCCATTATCGGAAAACGTCTTTTCCTTACCTCGCTTGTATTTGGGTCGCTTCATATTTCGTGGCGAGATGCATGAAGCCAAGAGAAGCTTCGACACGATGCAAAGATTGAGAATAAGTCGTCTACTGGCTGATTCACTCGTGGAATGACAGGTGAGGACGATAGCCTTGTTCAAGGCTCGTAAAGTACTAGCGATTTGCCTCCCCCCCAAATCTCAATCCTGAGGCCCCGACGCTTCCGCGACCACAGCCAGATAACATCTCGCATGGTTCTCGATCAACCGGCCTGCATCTCTCACGCATTCGGTGTTACCTCTACTTCTACCTAGCCAGTGCTCCTCATATCGGGCGCAATGGGGGCGAAAGACCCGGAGCAAGATGTTCCGCGAGGGCCCGGAAAAATCAGGGTGTCTGTTGACTGCGCTGGTGCTATTACGTCGATATCGAGCGAGCGTTGATCGTCCTCTTGCACCGCGGACCCGTCGATCTTTTGGAAAGCTCTATTCTTGACTCGTGAGAGAAAGCAGGGAACAAAATAAGCCTGTCACACTTACTCACCCGGCCACCCGGCAGAACAACATACTGTCCTGCACACTATGCTGTTGGCGGGCTCGCTTGCATTGGTGCCTTGCCGCGCTGTCTTTGTTGCACTTGTACACCAGAGAAATCAGGATCAGTGCCCCTGCGGCCGGGACCTTGAATAGCTCAAAAAATGTGTGGAAGCCATAGATACGGAGGGGATACAAGAGCACACCGCGCTCGGCGAATGGCCCGTTCCTGCGTTGTACGACCGTTTGGCATAGACGAGAAGCGAAAACAGAGAGCAAAATAACGCAAGGCGCAGATGCAGGCTGGACGACACAACAATTGTTATAGTATGGTATAAAAGATCCCCCCCCCCGACCGTTTCATGATCACACGAGTTTTGCCCAGCTCATCTTGGACGTTTCGGATTTTCCATCAATCTAAGAGAAATTTTTGCTCTCGGCATTGGCTTCGCTCATGTACAGTATATGTCGGACATTTCAAAACATTCTGCGTCAACATCCCACGAAAGAACAGGCTCTTTGCAGAGGTCTAGAGCCATTCCAGCAGTTTTCGGTATCACCGGTTCCCAGACGCCACGCCATGAATTAGTAAAGACCATGGAGAAAAATCACACATTATTAGCTGCTGTTGCCGCCACCTCCACCACTGGCTCCATCGCCGTTCCTGACAGACACACGCCTGCCCACCATTGCTTGCCGGATGCTCCCAGCTTCGGATGCGGTGGGGGTAGGATCATCTTCCGTCATGACGCTGCGGTACATGGAAGAACCACGGCTCAAAGTAGGACGCAGGGCGCCGGACGCTTCCTCAGGGGGGTCATTGAAAGGTGACCCTTCAATGGGACTGACAGGAGTTGAGTCTGCAAATGGATTTCGAATCGTCGAAGGACTGGGTGGTTCAGCACCAGTTCCGCCAACAATAGATCGGTATGGAGGTGGTGCTGTGGCTGTCGAGGACGGCCGAGGAATTGGATCAGCTGCAATAGTGGTGACATGAGGGATGGCGCGAGTTGGGCTCGGTGGCGTCACATTGGTCACGGCATCTCGGTACGGGGGTGCAACCTCGTCAATACTGTGCAGACTTGGTTCACCGCTGTGACCGCTTGCGCGAGACAGTGTGCCCGGGCCACTTCGGACGCTGGGATCTCGGCTGCGAATGCTATTGGAGCTGGAGAATCGTCCACCCATGAGCAATTCAGCGTCAAAAGAAAAGGCTCGCAGATGGCGTGTCCATTTCTTCCCTTGCTTCTTCGGCGCTTTCTCTGACATGGCAGCGCCGGCACGTCTCTTTCTCCTCCTAGCACAAAAGAAAAACAAAAGGATGGCGGCGATGGCAGCAACGACAATCGGGACGGCAATAGCTGCCTTGAGGGCGGGAGAGCATGAAATGCTGTTGCAAGAAGAAGACTTTTCTGAGACGGTGACGGCACCACCTGTGGTACTGCTGGCCGCATTGGATGCTGAGGTAGATTGACTGCCCGCGCTGGAGTTCGGTGACTCTGACGGTGAGCCGGGGGTGGCGATCGATGTAGCGAAGGTGGTGGAAGCTGTTTGGGAGGCAGAGGGAGCAGGCGTGCCGGCGCTCGAGTTGTCAGAATCTGATGCGGCGGTCTGCGATGCACCGCTGCTGGTGCGTGTGAAATGAGTCCCGGTGGTCTGGGAGAACTCGCTCGCAAAAGACGAGGCAACGCTGGCAAGAGATGAAGTGTCGATGTCTTGCTGGCCTACTCCTGTGAAGCCGGAATTGTCTGGGGTGTTTGTAAAGGCCATGGTGAACGATGGAGTACGGGTCGGATTCAACGATTGAGAGAGCGACGGGGTGAACGAAAGAGAGGGTGTTGAGATATCTGGCAGGTCTCGACGGGCAACACGGGGCGCCGTGAGGAAGAGACGAAGGACGGTTGCGAGATCCAGAGTGATATCGACCCCGCGAGAGGGTAGGAGTATGACATGTAAAGAGGGAGAGGATCGGAGGGCAAAGGGGGCAGGACAGCGCCCAGGATTGTGTCGCAGGTCAGCCGACTTTTCAGGCCCAATCTGCGGTCTGGAAGCCTGGGCTGGGTATTGGGGGTTGGCGGAGGAGTGAGCCGACGGTAAGGAGAGAAGGGATTGGCGAAAAGTGTATTTTCAGGCTCGTCGCAGGCTCAGCGTCAGCACCGAGAGTAATAAGAGAACACGTATCAGGGTGGCCCGTGGGCTGGGAGGATTATAATTGCAAGGAGTTGTTCTGGGACGAATATGGGAATGATGAATACGAAAAGTCCGGGATCAGCGAGGCGCAGTTTGGCAATTGGGGTCTCGCACAAGGAAAAGATGCCAGTTCGCCAGCAGCTGAGGCCAGGCGGAAAAAGGCGAAGGATGGCCTACTGAGTAAGGGAATACGAGGAGGATTCCCCAAGGGGGACTTTCTTTTTAACGAGACCAGGGCAGGGTAGCCTTGATACGGAGTAGGGAGGGCAGTGGATGAGAAAAAGAGAGGGGGGTGCATGGGCGCTCACCCTTCACGCAGGTACTAGGGCTAGCGGCAATCCCTGGAGCTCTAGGAGCTCTAGGCGCTGTCGGCCAAGGAGGTGCTTAACCAGAACCGCCAGTGCCATGCCCGTCAGGCGGGCCTCTTCTACTCCCCTCTGGGAGAGGTCTGAGGGTAAACGCTCCGAAGCCTAACAAGCACTTATTCTTGGCATTTGGGGGAGAGGAAATGAGGATTGGCTCCCCTGCGTCTAAACCACGTGCGCTATCCCTTTGCTGAATTTAGGGGCCTAATCCGGTCCTATTAAAGCACCCATTGGGATAGATTAGCTTCCCAGTTGGCTTCCGTGCTTCCTTAACCACCACTGCTTCACTATTCCTTCTCAGGCCGGCGGACATCCGAACGCCATCTTATTTTCCCTGCCTTGACCTCATTTCATCCCTTCCCTTCCAAGCCTGCAGTTTCTCGCCTATCAACCGACCCCAAGCCCCGACTGCCGACTCAGCCTGGCTACTGGGCTGGTCCTCGCTTCTCCGTACTTACATACTGGTATGTTCCAGTCTGGTCACCTACTATAAACTAGTCCTGGCCCCCGACCGCCACAGAAGTCACATTTTTTCCTGGAGGTTCATTTCAGATGCGCGCCAATATCTGCGACGAGGTGGCGCCGAGAGTTTCAATTGTAGTGACACATATAATTTGTTACGTGTCTACGAGTATCTCCCGTTTTAGGGAGAATCGTGCGCGTTTTCCTCCACCTGCAAGGCAACTCCCCATCTAGCTCTCTACTCGTAGGACTTAATGAATCGGACCAAAAAAACCCTGCAGCTGAACGGCCGCCCTCAGTAAACTTGGGAGCTGCACTGGCATCTGCACGCAGCCATGGCCAGCCTTTCTGGCGAACCATTGCAACGCCGGAATTCAATGTCTATTAAAAGCTACAGATGGCGTCAAATCTAGATGTCCGATGCTCCACTAACAGAGCACGTGGGGCACTTATGATTGGTTGTGGTCACATGACACGGAGGTTATAGATTGCGACTTGCCGACCTCCGACATGGCTTGGTGGTCAGTGAGCGACAGCCTGAGACAAGTTGCAACGAACCACCAACACTTGCCTGCAAACCTGCTTGACATTCTCACGTCTTACCCAATGCGGTCATCTTGACTCAAGCAGACCAACCTGTTTGTCCATGACGAGTATTCTGCTGGGCGCTTGGGGTGCGCCTCTTCGATCCTTGGTCTGGCCCCAGTCGAAACCATGACGTACTTGGCCGACTTTTTTTTCCCAGCAACATCCGGGCACGGAAAACTTTTGCAGAAAGACGATCCAGTTGCTCTTGGGCAACGGCGCCCGTGGCTGCCTGGTTTTGTAGCTTTCATTGGTCATATCGAATCTTGAATCAAAAAGACCCAGCATGGCTGGGCTGCAACAGTTGACATACTTTTGTTCCCACGAGTGAAAAGTCCCTTTTCCCCACCCACCTCGACGTCTCTCGGTTTCCAGCACTAGTTAGTAGGTATAGTCCCGCCGTTGAGATAATCATGTGGCAGGCAACGGTGGCTTGCATGGCTGCGGAGTTCCCTGTCAGGTAACACGGCACTGGGTGCGACTTCAGCCTTGGTGGGGAGTAATAAGATGCCCATCAGAAAATTGCCCTGAGCTGGGTGCTACCGTGACCACCCATTATTGTCCTCACGCGCCGTGCGAGGGTACAATTTCGGAGGTCATGTTACACAGCATCAGCCTCTCGGTGATGTATTATGTATGAGGGTACATATATGCTGCGGCTCAAGGCAGCCCGTATCGCATCTGCGCCTCCCTCTCGCGGAAAAAGCCCCATCTATCTCTCATGGAGTGGACTCACAAATGACCTGGTTCCCATTTGGATCTCTTGTCATCAATCCTCTTTCCGAGACCAGACCAGTCGAGTCGAGTCCACGGGATATTGGGTCGCACGATGTGTTTGACCACACAGGTCCCATCCATCCATCCATCCATCGCATCTGATCTAAGGTTTTTTTCTTCCCACGCTTGCCAGGCCCGTTGAGGAATCTTGCCTAATAATGAGTGGCTGGCAAGTCCGTATGCGTGCGCATGCATGCGAGAAACCCGTTATTTCCCCCTCCATCGTCCCTCGATTGCTAGATCTAAGCTCTTCCTCCGTGCGCGGATCTTTGTGGATAATATGCAATATCACAAACGTGATCGAAACGGGCGCAGGGACGAGGTTAGTACTCCGTACGGAGCACCGAGCAACATCTCCATGTGTTGTAGTTAGGCTAAATACCGTTGCGTCACTGGGGAGGGCAAGATGCTATTCTTGTGCTCCGCAATTCATGAGTAAGAACATCCAAGCTCTTTGACCCGCTCGGGCTCCCAGCCTCCCTTGCCTACTCGGTACATCAACCTCATTCCACATGATGTGGTCTTTCCTTGTTGGCAGGCAGACAGTCCTTGCTCGTCATGACCACGTATGTGCCGAGTACGAGTTCGAGGTCCGCGGTATGGACCGAGCGTCAAACACCCCTGCCGAATCAAAAAAGCCGTAACTGCATACAGAAACACTCGCATGAGGCAGATATGTATATGGAACGGACCACCCCCACGCGCTTCGTTCTGAGAACTCTCACACTCACACCCTGTCCGATGATAGGTTGAGAAGAGCCGGTGCTCCTCAGGAGTTTCTCCTGTCCAAACCCAGGTGTTCTTGACCGCACGGTCCTTGAGCTCAAGTTCCTCCGTCGTCGACCACGCACTGGCAAGAGAGACGCAAGGTCTTTTTGCATGGAGGGACGTGAGAGACGGACCAAACAGAGATTACCTACCAGCCTTACAGTACTACAGTCGAAGTGGCTTTGCCAGCCATAACGCTGGTGTGCTCCTGCCAACGATGAACTCGTTGACTGACAAAATGTGCTTCAGCTTGAGAGTATGGTCGCTGAACAGGCTCTGCTCTATCTCTGGGATATCCAGAGTTGATTGATCCAGCAAGTCGACAAGTCGACCTTTTCTTACGCCTTTTGTCTCCCAATATTCTGGAATCACCGGAGTCATGCAGACTACCCAACTAACAACGAACAACCCGACCGGGCATCCCACCCCTCCTTCTCTACATTTCCCTATTCCAATCTCTATCTCCCTCTCCATCGCTCATATATCGTCTGTCTACAGGTGCCCTCTTTAGAGGAAGATGTTGAGAAAAGCAATGAACCGGATAGGGAAGGTATGTAGAAGAGAGAATCTCCCCCTCTCCCTCCGACCTCAGTCGATCTGGAGGAGCCACCCATCTGCAGCGCCGCCGCCTGTGTTGATCTATTTTGTTGCTCTCGAATGGATCCACTATTACACACGGTGTCGCTCACAGGTCGCCGTTCCATGTATGAGCCCACTGCACAAACAAGCACAAGTATATGGGACACGCTGGCTCCCTGCGTTGTCGGGGTACGAAGAGCCGTGGAATCAGAAGCCGAAGAAGCACTAGAAGAATGAATATCGAGTTACATGTATAAGATGGAAAATGGACGACTTATTCCTCGAGGTCAATCGTGGCCGTGGACGCACTACTGCGTACAAGACACAACTTGCACCAGGGACAACTAGTATGCTCTGTAACAAGCATATTACTCTACTACATATAAAGTATGTAATTGCGATATGTTCCCTACATAAATCCTACACGCTGTAGCTCGCAACGTAAGCACCTCACCTCACCTCACCTCACTCCTGATCATGAGTAACTCGGCTTCGTCCCCAGCGGCACAGGTGGAGGGGCAACGCCCATGGAAGCTACGCTCCCATGCATGTTTGCTGGCTTCTTCGGTGGCGGAGGCGGTGGGGGCTTGCGCGATAACGACGCCGCCATCTCTGGACTTTGACTCTGCGGAGATGTTTGCATGGGAGCAGTGCCCCCTGCGTTGGCACCGTTGAGGGACTGGGCGTCTTCCGGGGTTGGCGATGGCGAACTGTGCTTCTCAAGGAACGAGTTGAGGCGCCCTGTCACGTTATACTTCTTGTTCCACTCGCTGGCTTTGGCGCCTGCGGCGTTGATGCTATCTGAATGACGTTCCCGGAATGAATTGGCCGTGCGGACAGCCGATCCAGCGTCAGCAGCAGAAACGGATGCAGGGTCCTTATAGGCACTTTGGGCTGTACGCATTGCCGCTTGCTTCTCCGCCCAAGTCGTCCCTTGGGCCTGGCTTTGCGCTGGCGGTTGCGGTTGCGCCGCGTAGGGTTGCTGAACGGGTGCAACGGTGTTGACCGGTGGCGGAGACTGCGTGGGTGTGACGAAAGGAGGTG